TCTCTGAATCAGTTTGGAACAAATCTTTCCACGTCCCTTTGCCCTCTGTACCTTCTTTTCCACTCACCTTGCCTTTCTTACCCCCCCCCCCCTCCTCTTCAACCCCTTTTTTGTCCTCCCCCCTCTCTCCCTCTGGCTGGTGGAATCCCATCCCCGTCCACCTAAGTGTCACTGAAGAATGTTCCATCATTTAAACAGCGGCGAATGCTCCGCTAATATATAACCAATTACACCGGTCACATTTCCTGTGTCTCCTTTGAGCTCTCGGCAGGCTCAAAGTGCCAATCAGGCCCGGAATGCCAGAACATGGCTCTTATTTGCCAGGGGTCAGCGCACCAGTAACCTCACATTCTAAAGGACCATTGTTCCCATGGCCAGAAAACTCGGCGAGGCACACATACACATCCAGGGTGAAAGACACACGCGCAAACCCCCGGGCCCCCGAAGGCCCCACATTGAGGGCCCGCTCTGTTTAAACAGCATCCGCCCGCACAGCCACCCGCAATGAAAGGGATTAAACAGAGTGTGTGTGCGTATAGGTGTACGTACTGTACTGTGCAACAACAAAAAGTGTCCATGTTGATAGATTTGTTTCATCCAGTGAAAAGGAGCGCCGTCGACTTTCCACATGCACATGAAATAAAAAACTTGCATTGCTAAAGTTATCTGAAAAAAATGTGATAATTTACAGCAAAGGGAATTCAGACTTTTAAGTGCAAAATAGCGGCTTCCAAGTAGCAAGCTTGTGCGTGTGCGTGTTGGTCTGTGTGAGTGTGGGAGCCTGAGAGAGCGTCTGGCCGACTGCAGGTGCTCAGACCGAGCGAGGACATTTAATGAGCTTCCACATTCTGTCCGTTTCCTCGCAGGAGCTGGAACATAAAGAAAAGTCGACTTACTGCGAACGAGAGAAGAGACGCAACACTCTCGCCGCTGCCTACGTCACACGTTAATACCGTCCGCGCCGGCGTTTCCTCCACTCAGCTGCTAAATAGTCCCACGGAAATGGGAGCCTTTTAACTACAAGTGGCTGCAGTTAATGTATACTAAGCATATGGACATCGACGTGTTACACCCACATGGGTATTAATATGCTAACAGCATCCATTATTCTGAGTTTATTGACCTTTCCTTGTGCAAGTATGGGGTAGGAAGTGTGTGAATAATTCTCTGGATTCTGACCACGTATGCCTCGTATTCACTGCGCGGTCCGGCTCGACTCAACTCACCTTTTGGTATTTTCTCTACTTTGTTGTCCCCTCGAGAAAGTAAAAGGGGTTCTCAACTGTGTCATTGTCAACGCCACATTTAGTTAATCATTGCAAAGCGTTTTAATTGCCCGGCGTAACGAGGCCCTCAGCTGCGAACTCCACCTTCGATTATCAGACCAGGTTCGCTTTGAAGGCGGAGGAGTTTCCAAAAAGCCGGCTTCACATTGCTTCACATTGCTCTACATTGTTTCGCGTTGCTCTACATTGCTTCACATTGCTTCACCTTGCTTCATATTGCTCTACATTGTTTCACTTTGCTCTACATTGCTTTACATTGCTTCACACTGCTCTATATTGTTTCACGTTGCTCTACATTGTTTCACATTGCTCTACATAGCTTCACGTTGCTCTGCATTGCTTCACATTGCTCTACATTGTTTCATGTTGCTCTACATTGCTTTACATTGCTCTACATTGCTTCACGTTGCTCTACGTTGCTTTGCATTGCTCTACATTGCTTCACGTTGCTCTACATTGCTTTACGTTGCTCTACATTGCTTCACGTTGCTCTACATTGTTTAGCGTTGCTCTACATTGCTTCACGTTGCTCTACATTGCTTCACATTGCTCTACATTGCTTCACGTTGTTCTACATTGTTTCATGTTGTTCTACATTGCTTCACGTTGCTCTACATTGCGTGTATTTTTTCTGTCCATGAGACTCACTGAGCACCTTCTACACGGGGAGAACCTTCTAACATGTTGCTGGAGAAGAAGGAGAAACCTGATTGGCTGCCTCGCTGTGTTCACCTGCCACATCCAGAACAATCGGATTCCTCACCTCCGTCTTAAGTGTCTCAATACGAGCACACACACACACACACACTCACACACACACACACACACACACACACACACACACACACACACACACACACACACACACACACACACACACACACACACACACACACACACACATCCAAAACGCACCCAAACAGTTTCACACAGGTATGTAGACGTGTTAAGAGAAACCTGACCTACCTGACGGATCGAAACTACTCCTACGCTCCTCTGTTAACCACCCAAAGTGCTGCGTGGGAAACAATGCTTTGGCAATACCAGCTAATTCCTACTCAAATACCCGAGATGGATGGATGGTTGGATAGATAATGAGTAAACGTTGACACGGCCTGGAAGGGGAGCAGGAGAGATAGAGGTTCCGTATTAGCACGAATGGGTGAGGTATAGAAAAAGTTTGTCATTACGGCTGTTCTCATTTGTTCCCTCTCCTTTGCTTCCCTTGCTTGCCTATAAGAGACATCCGAGGCCAAAGGGCAGACAGCCCTTTCAGAGAAACATGATTGCATCCTTGTTGCGAAAGGCCTTTCATTTAGAAATATGTGACTTTCTGCTAGAAAGCCGGAGCGTTCCTTCTTCCATAACCGCTTTTCTCCGCACCACAAAAAAACAGGGCAGAGAGAGAGAGAGACCTTGTGCCTCTGAAAAAGCCCTTTTCAAGACACTCGTGTTTTCAAGGTCCTGCCTTGAAAGACAGCAGGCTTACAGGCATATAAAAAAAACCCCATCCGGATCAAACCGTCATTTAATATATTTGAGTTTTTTCATTTACGCGGAACTGTAAGGTGTAGCAATTCCTTCTCCTTAAAGATCAGCTAATCTAGAACATATATGTATATATATATATATTTATATGTATATTTGCTTGCCTTTATGAGTCTTATAATATGCACAGGCAAAGTAAAGACTGTGATGCCCGGTCAGCAGAAAGCTGCGTCATGCTGCTTTGACCGCGCTCAGCACAGGCTGGTCTGTTGTTTTGGCCTCGAGTACTTGGAGGTTATGTAGCTTGGGTCAACACCACGTGCGTGTGACCAGCGTACCGCCGGGTGATGTCACATGGCTCGCCAAAGTCCGCTTTGATGTCAGCAATTAGACGGTTCAAACTTCTCAGCTCGCCACGAATGTCAGAGCCCGCTGTTTACGGGCTAATGGGTTGCTAGGTTACCCAGCGGAAAACACTCGATGTCTGGATCCTTATCACCGCGCCGCTAATCAAATCGGCTCATGCTCACGTCACATGAGGAGCTTTACAAATGATATTATCCATTAATGTAGGGGGAGGGGGGGGGGGGTGGAAAAGGAGATTTTCTTCAGTCCAGTAGCTGATGGGACTTATATATATATATTATATACTTTAGTAAAAGGTACAGAAGATCACATTTGCTTTTGTTGTCAAGCATCTTATTCAAGGACCCCCCCCCCCCCCCAGAAGGATGGCCTCTTTAGAGCGCCGCCCCGCTCTCGTTCACGCGCACATTTTCCTGAAACTGCGGCGTGTGAGCGCACTTGTCCACACAGTGCGTGACCCGAGAGCTGTGCGATAAGAGGACGACTGGGAGGAACGTTGCTCCGCACCGCTCTATCGCCTGCGCTCCTTTTGATAATAGTTTCACTGCTGGCGGATCAAAGCCGCCCACGCCGCCCCGCACCCCCTCCCCCCCCCCCCCCCCCCCCCTCAGGGGGACCACGGCCCTACTGTAGCCGGCCGGAGCCGTTAAAGTCCTTCAGCCTGGAGCTCCCAATTTTTCCCCTTATGTAACCTTGGAAAACCTTGCCAAAGTTTGGGCAATGACGATTGTTTGTAGCCTCCGCACGGGGTGGGGGGGGGGGTTGGCGGCGGTGGCTGGGGGGGCCGAACTGCGGGTTGAGTTTGGAGTGTGTGCTCTTTGGAAGGATCGCTCTATTCCCTGTTTCGGGGCAGAGGTGTCTGATTCCCTCGCTTACGGCTCGGTTTCCAAACCGGGTCGGGGTCCTTCCGCCGTCAGGGGGGCTTTTTCTACCGCCGGTGGGCTGCAGGAGGTTTTCTGCATCGGGGTCAGAAATGGAATCTGAATAGGATCGTCAGTGGGGAACCCCCCCCCCCACTTTGAATAGAACTTTTGCAGGAAATCAGTGAATTCAGGTTTAACATTCTACCTCCTTAGAGCATCACTTGCTATACCCGTGAGGCATTGGTTTCTATTTCACAGTTTGAGTTTTAGGGAAAAGTAAGAGGATCTATTTTACCCCTCAGTGTCGCTGTTTGCTCTGTCGGTTGACGTGCTTTGCATAACAGAACCTGTGTGAAAGTACGAGCCTGCTGCACACGTGCGTACAGATTTACAGAAGCCTGCAGCGATGAAATACCTCGTTATGAGTCCTGGAAGAAGGAATGGGGCCTTATGTTTGCATTGAAATGTAATGCAAAAGGTTCTTCATTGGTTCTGCAGAACAATTGTTACTCTTGACCGTCACCGCCGCACATTTCTGACGATATATTCATGACTCTATTTTCATTAAGAATTGTTGCGATGTGGTTACAACGAGCCCTTTGTGTCCTCACAGACGTACGCGGCGATGCCCCGGCAGTAGGCGGCACCGCGCCGGTCCACATCGCCCTCGAACTAGGACGCGGTCGGCTCTGACGGGTTGTCGTGACACACTGTGCTGACTCACAACATGTGTCTCTGTTTTTGTTTCTAAAGATGAAGAAAAAAAAAACACAAAAGGCCAACTGACCTTTTCTTTCTCTTTTTTCTTTGCAAACACCAGCTGTCAAGTGGACATTTGGGAACACGTGCAGATTTGTGCACGTGTGCTGGTGTGTGTGTGTGTGTGTGTGTGTGTGTGTGTGTGTGGTTGGAGCACTGTTGCCATCCAGACCAGAATAAATTAGAACAGGCGCTCAGAGTAGATTTGAGGCAGTTCATGGTGAAAAAAACACACATGTTTTCCATGTTTGTTCCTGGTGACGCAGCATCCTTCAAATAGTATTTTGTATTTTTGTGTATTTAATATATAAAGTGGTATTTGCATCCAGTACGGAGACATCGGAACGGTTATCAGGTATAAAACTTCTGGCAAACTCATCAACAAAGATACAATAAATACAAGAACTGACATTAAAGCAGAATCAATTTTGCCGTGTTGAGTACAAAAACAAACAATTAAGGCTTATCTGTATTATTGAGCTTATCTGTATTATTGTCTGCAGACACGCCTCCACTGTTAAACCCGTTGATTCAGTTGATTACGCCAGTTATCGTCGCATTGACACGCATTGGTTTCTATTTATCTAGAAAGCCCTCGACGGAAACTTTCCATACGAGATATTACTTCCTTGTCGAAAATGGTCCCACTGTCAATATTTGACTCTTGATACTTGATACTTGACTAAGTCCTGCCCGAAGACATTCGGGGACACTCGCTGGAACTTTTTCGCATTAAACATTATAACAATTACATAACAATTACAACCATGATCCGAAATGACAAACTGCGTCCTGTCGGCGTCCGCTTGTCTTTTCAATGTGCATAAATGAAGCTCCACGGGAGGATGTGGTGGTTGAAGTGTGAGAGACACCGTGGACCACATCCACTTTAGAGGAACGCCAACGTGCAGTTAATGTGGAGTCCACCTGTTCTGTGGCACTGTTTTAAATTGGAATTAACCCAGATGGTTTTGTAACGTCAGGAACGCACGGTGCTGCTGTTGTCGGCGTTGGGTAAATGTCCACGTCTCTCCACGTCGGTGCCGCTGCATCTGTCCCTCTTTCGTTCTTTCTTTCGCTGCGTGCGGCTTAAATTACAAAGCTTTCACTCAGAAGTGACTCATGTCGGGGAAATGCACTTCTTTCTTTCTCGCTCTCACTTTTCTTTTCTTTTTTTTTTTTCTAACTGTCTTACCGCCTCTCACTTCATTTTTAAAAAAAACTATATTTTTTCCTCTCGGTTCCCAAGGCCGCGTCTGTTTTGCTCTTTGTGCTTTTCAGCCGTTGACATTTTTTTTTTCTTCTTTTTTTTAAAGAAACACCTCTTTTTCCACAGGATTCGAGCATCACGTCTTGCGGCTCCCACAGAACACCTTGACTGAACGAAAGAGCAGAGATCCCCGTCCTGCCTTTGCAAGACGGTCACACAAAACACCTGGAAGAGAGAGAGAGGGGAGGGGAGGGGGGGGAGAAAATGGGTCTGGGGCAGATGGATGGAGAGGGAAGAAAAAAGGAGTACAATTAGTCATCTATTTCAAAGACAGCATATAATAAAACATTCCCCCCCCCCTTAGGTAAACCTGGTGAATGCAAACACGAATTAGCCGCCCACGCTCGCTCAGTGAATAAGGCTAAAAGAATGCATGGCAGCCCACTCATCGAACGCCACGGAGCCACTCTCCCCCCGCGGTCCCCCCCACTCCCCCCCTCTCACTCATTCTCCCTCTCCTCTTCCCGCCGACACATCCCATAATGGGTTTCACCTCCACCAGCAACCCAAAAAAAAAAAAAAGATATTCATTAGACGGTAAGATTGAAACATTGTTTTAAAAAGAAGAAAATGTCCACGCCTGAGAAATGATGTTTTTTCAGCAACACAATGGCGAGGGCGGGACGACCTTGTGAAAGGGGGCCGTCTGCTTTGAATGCAATTCATTTAATGGAGACACGAGGATGTGCGCAGGCCGAGGGACGCGATCCAAAGAAGAAAAGTCCCCCCCCCCCCCCCCGCCCTCCCGGGGGCCCCGCCTAAAGAAAAGGACGGCGGCGACAGCAAAGGCCGCTAATGCTCCGCGGGCCACAGAGAGCGGCGGCGTGCGTGCGTGGAAGTTGCGCCGGGGGGCTCCGTTGCGTTCGGGGGGGAAAAGGGCAGAGCACAATCAGACGGGTGAAAGGAGCGCGGCTGAGAGCGAAGGGCAGGAGCAGCGCCGCCGACCGGCAGAGAGCCGCGGGGTCGCGACCCCCTCCGATGCTTGAAAGGAGGAAAATCACAGCAAACCGCGCTCACACAAATCGAGCACACATCAATTTTTGTGCCCTTGCAACTTTTTTTTTTTTTTTTAACCAGATGCTCACCTGAATCCGTCCTTGTTGTTACCAGAGCAACAGGAGAGGTTTCTGGGGCTTGTGGGCTGCGCCGGTGCATTCGGCAGATTTCTCTCTCTATATCGACACACACATTTCTCGCTCTTTTTCTCTTGTTAATACACCGTCACAGTCACTGTGATCTCTGCACGAGCTGACAATCAGCTGCTGGTGGTTGAGGGGTTCCGAACAAAAGAGCAGGAAATTCAAAGGCAGAATTCCCCCCCCCCCCAAAAAAAAAGCCACATGGGCGTTTTACAGTGTGTCAAAAACATCAAAACTCTGACAAAGGTTAACTAAACGAGGGTTTCTTTGTGCTTTGTGTTATTCGGTGTGTGGGTACAAGAACTGAAAAAAAGACAACAAAAACAACAACAACAACAACAAAAAAAGCCTCTGGAGGAACAAAGTGAAAGCGAGTGAGAGGCGAGGCTGCGGGGGGTCGAGCGCCGTGTCCCAACGTTTAGGACAAGCCGCCTCGCATCCGTCTGCCCCCGAGAAGGCCCTCACTCCTCTGGTCATCGTCTTCTTATTGTTCTCGCCGTCCCTTTCACACACACACACACACACACACACACACACACACGCGCGGTTGTATCTGATAGAGAGGGAAACCACAGTGATGAAGTGACTCAGTGATAAACCACAATCATCCCTTTTCGCCGAGGGGAAGCACGGTGACATCAGATGTGAACTTAAACATGCTGATGAGCTCCGGGCACGCACACACGTTCACACGCGCACAGACACACACATGCAAATGCGCCGACCGGTGACAGGGGAAACCCCCCGTTTCGATGCGCGACGTCTTACCAGTCACCTTTTTTTCCAATAAATACAATCAGAGAGCAACTGGAAATGTTGTTGGAAACTCTTTGTTTTGCTGGCGAGAATTCTCCCCTCGTCCCGTGGACGGAGCGGGTTTCTAGACCACACTTTGAACTCGCTTTCTATTCCTTCGCCAACTGTCTGACGGGTGTTTGCAAGTAATCTCACCAGCGTCTCCCGCGTCGGTGACCTCTCTCCCCTCGTCTCCCCTCCTGTCCTTCGTCCCCGCTGCGCCGCGCTCGTCCTCTTCACCGTCGTCTCGTCTGAGGCCTCGATGCACTTTCTCCCTCCTCCGCATTGGCGCGTAATGTGTGTGAGTCAGGCTCTGGAGCGCAGCTTTGCACTGTGCTAAGTGTTGAGGAGGACTCTTTAAGTGTGCATGTGTGCGTTTGTTGCCTCTACGTGTGTGTGTGTGTGTGTGTGTGTTTTTTTCTACTAATGCAAATAGGTCCCATTATCGTCCCAATCCTTCATTAGAAGTAAATGTCAGAGCAATTACCTGCTTCTGTGACTCACCTTTTCAGCCAGGTGCTTTGTCTCTGCCCCCACATGCATCCTGCACACCAGGAAGCCACAGTATGCAGATACCCCACACACACACAGACACACACACACACACACACACATAAACATTTCTGACACACGGCAAAAGAATGCGACATATCCTATGGCCAAACTGCTCAGACGCTCAACATTTTGAGATTTTTGTTAGTTTCCGTTGTGGAAATCGGCCGCTGACAACTTAAAACACAACATAACTGACCCCTGCATTACAATCCAACGCCGCCCCCCGCCGGCTTTAGGCTCCGAGGCCCCACAACCTTCTTTTTACCTTCCGTCAGGAGCCTCCTTTTTTCTCTGACCTCCGCGTTCTCCCTCCTCCCGCGCGTCACGGCTGCTTGCGAGGTTGTGCGTGCGCGGACGGGATGCGGCGAGGCGCGCGAGCGGAGACGAGCTGCGAGTTGCCGGGAGTTTTTGGCCGCACAAATGAGGCAGAAATGTGACTCCATTATTGCACGACACATCATTGACTTCACATCTCTCCGCATGGGGCAAAGCGTGTCTTTGTCTGTCTCTTTCTGATCTCGGCGGCATTCGGAAAACTGTTTTTTGATTGCCACGCAAACACACACAGACGGTTGTGTGATTAATTGTGGGTGTGCGTGTATGCCAGCCACCAGTCACCGAGCAACAAAGGGAAATATATGACCAGGTACGTTGATCGGCAGCATGTCCCTCACAGTCAACTCCCAAACAGGTCTTTTTGGATGATGCAAAAGCTTCTCATCACTTTGACGGTTGATGAAACGGTGTCAACCTGAATTTCCAACTTAAGCGTGTGAAACAAGTGGTGCGAATACGCCTGCCGCATTAACGAGACCGTACTTGCCCTATATGGTGCCACCGACAGACAGAACGCTGTGTATCCGTGGCAACGGCGGACCCGGTGTTGGGTTACATCCTCCGTTCCTGTCGAGACAGAGTAGGTGTCGGCTGAATCTCACCGAGCTGAACTTAAGGATGACAAACCATCCGATTACGATGGGTTCAAGCGCTGTTTTACCCAGAGTCCTCCTGTGGTGTGCAGTAACTGCTAAGGGTCATCTGGGGTCATCTGGGGTGCGCCGAGAACCGCAAGGTTGGTACGGGTTAAAAATGCAATGTCAGTCGCTTTGGATAAACGCGTCAGCTAAATGACATGTAATGTAATCTGCATTCACCAGGTCCACACTCTGCAAGGACGTCACTGCCACTGATCTATGGAGACAAATGTCACCTCATTGGGGCTTCAAACGGCCCTTATTTACTTCCTGATTAATCAGTTAGTTGGTCGGCCGACAATCACATGACCCCAGGTCACAACCAATAATCCTTTTTGCAGAGAAGAGCTGAGAAGTTTGGGAACCAGGTACCAATCTGTTAGTGATTCCCAGAGTAAATACAAATCATGGGAAAGCATCATTTAGTTACTACGCAACGAACAGGTGGAATAAACTTCCTGAAGATTTAAGACTTCCCCCAACTCTGACCATGTTTAAAACAAGACTGAAAACGTTTATGTTCAGCTTCGCCTTCTGCTAAATTTAATCTACATTGCACTTTTAACCTCTGCCATTAAATAAACAATTTAAATTTGCCAATTTTATTTGCTGTTTTTAATTGTCTTTTAATTCCTGCATTTTATTTCACCTTATTGTATGAAATGTTAGGATGTGAAGCACTTTGAGTCTGCCTTGTGTATGAAAAGCGCTATACAAATAAAATTGCCTTGCCTTGCCAGGTACCATTGAATAATTGTGATCCTGAAAATGATTGTTTCAATAACGAATTGTGAGAATCGTTAGTAGTAAAAGCGTGTGAATGTTTCGTGGGTTGATTTGTGTTAAATTAAATTAAGTTTTTCTCTCATGCACTTTTAGGTAGACGTAGGACAAGTAATGCACTTTAATACAAAACTAAATAAACCTGTTTGTAATTCACGTCATTGGAACCAGGAAGGATGAAGTCTCCCACAGGAGGCTGCTGTTTGAAATCTAGAAGTCAATGTTGACTAATCTTTGACTTATTTTTCTTACTTTACGCCATTCCTGCATTTATTTTAAGCCAAACGACAATCCTTTCCAAAACCTTAACTAGCAGTTAAACATGAGGAACTTGTTTCCTGCAAACACTGGAGACTACATCACAAACGCTTGATGCATGTTAAAAGCAGAAATGAACTTGTTCTGTTGGACATTCATCATAGTACACTGTTACAAGGGCTCAACCTTTTCTACAGAATGGAATTATAGGAGGTGGTTTGTAATAAACCACCATGTGCACCTGACAAACTGCCCACCGAGCTTGTTAAACGTAGTCCCAAGAAACACGGCTCTCACCGATACAAAAACCTTAGTACATCTGCAGATGCAACTTAGTGAAGGTCCAAAATGCATCGAAAAATTGGAGGTGTTTGTATGTGAATTGTTGAATTCCTGCACAGTGCGGCCTTTGCAGCACAGGTAGATAGACCACTAAAACGGGTCCATGAAAAGATCCAGTTAAAGACCTGGTCTTCCAGTGAGCTGTCTTGTGATATGTTGAGTCTCTGTGACATATGACACAGGGGACGTCATACATTGTGATATTTTCATCAAGTGGAAATGATGAATAAGAATCCACCTGACTTTGTTCTGATTGTCACTTTTTCCTGTTTTTCACGTAGAATAAAAAAAATGAAAAGTGTGCGTCTGTGAGTTTTCTCCTTCATTTCAATTATATATGAGTATGAATATCCATCACTTGCTGTAATGTTACATACTGAACTGAGTAGGTGATTATTATTCATCTGGATACATATAATGAAATACTATGACAAATTATTTATTTTAAATACTAAAACTATCACATTAACCAGTTAATTTGTATTTAATTGGCCTGTGTTACACTTGCCCGTGCTTAAAAATAAAATGATGTAAAGAATATTCTTCAATTATTGTTAGTCTTCCGTTTTTGTGTATATTTGTGTACCCGGTAGCTCTCCGTCACAGCAGATCCTCTGGGAATCCAAAGAAGGTCATATTTTGGTAAAGTATTCACAAATAAAAACAATTTTGTTTCTTTATATACGCAGCAGGATCTGGTTTGTTATTTTGTGATTGTTGGCTTGTGAGGCTGCACTGATATTTGGTGGAAAAAGGTCTGTTATTTCCGTGTCAATTATCAATTTTTTAATCATTACAAAGGATTTGTTCGAAACTGTCTTCACGGCTCTTTTCCTTTGTTTCTCTTCATTCAAGGGCAGCGGCGCTGAGCGGCACTGCTAGGTGTGATTACTGCGCAGCTGAATAGGAGATGGAGAATAAAACAAAAGATTCACAAATGCGCGCTACTGGAGGCTCTGTCAAAAAGCTAGTGCACACTCCTACACGGTGCCGCCCACACACACACACACACACACACACACACACACAAATGCGTATGCACGCATTCAGATGATGGCCCACAAAGAGAGACAGTTGGACACGTACACAAACACACAGCAACACGTGCGTGAGCACACAGACGAATACAATGGCCCCGAGGCTTCTTTTGAAAATCTCTGTTTTTTTCCCTCTCTTCAGTAGAAACATATGGGGGACGGAAAGAGAAAGAAGCGTTGCAGAGGTGCAGGTTATCTTCATATTTATTCATCAGGGTTCTTCTCTCCCCCTGCAGACAGTGCTGCATGAAAAAGCATCAGATGGTGCGAAGGATCTGCCTGCTATTCTCGGCCACGGGCTTCTCGGAGCCCGGGGGGGCCGCTGAGGTCCCACAGGCTGCTTCAGGTCCACGGTGAAATAACCCTCTCCTTGTAAGCAGAAAAAAACCAAACATCTAAAAAGGATGCAGGGCCTTCAGGGACTGGCAGAATGGTGCAGATCATATCATGTGTATCACAAAGCAGGAACATTTACCGCTGTAGGTGTTCGTCCTCCAACATTTGGCCGGACGAGTGATCTGATTTTAGATCGGCCTCTTCTCCGATTCTTCTCCTCCGCTCAGCGCCCCCCCCTCCTCCACACACACACACACACACAACCGCATCCTACCCTCCATCCTAAACTCACTTCTCCGATATCATACATACTTTATTGTGTTTTTCCCACCCTGTACCCTGTACATACACATGCCTGTACATGCCTGAGCACCCTTTTGACTGTGTGTGTGTGTGTGTGTGTGTGTGTGTGTGTGTGTGTGTGTGTGTGTGTGTGTGTGTGTGTGTGTGTGTGTGTGTGTGTGTGTGTGTGTGTGTGTGTGTGCTCTCGTGGGGCAGAGGCTGAGGTGAAGTCTGCGTTAGCCAGGCGGAGCGGACGGATGGAGAACATCGGCGGGAGTCGTGACTGCTCAGGCGTCCGTAGGAGGATGTGACGAGCGCTCGCTGCTCCCTTACGCAACGCACCGCAGCGGGTTGAGTGCTGATTAGAAGGCCAAAGGTCAACACCCTCAACACCATCGCAATATTTGAGATTATTCCGTTTAAGTGCATGCAAGGTTGTTTATAAGCAAAAAACGAATGCGTGCATGTGTACGCATCGTCTCACTGACCCACATCAATCTAGTATTTCACCATTTACACATGAACCTAACCGAGCACCATGGTCTTTATGCACGGAGCGAGCAGGACCTGACCCATGTTGCAGTCTTGAGTGACGATTTTATAAAATATCATTATGTAAAACAAACTGTTGTGTGAGCGTTCGTTGACCGACACACAACGGGACACAACTGAGAGATTGTGTCCAGCAAACTTAATATACATATCAGCTGAATGCAGATCAATGTTAGCTGAGCCAAGAAATTGAATTCAATAGCCCAGAAAATATTACATTTTATATTATTATTATGTGAGTAGTGTGTGTACTTTAGTATTTCATCATTTGGTGGCGTCTCATATTACATATTACTCGCATCAGGTGGGTTTGGTGGAAAAAAACTTCCCGGTTACATTTAGGAAAAGTCATGTGTTCAAATAAAAATGTGATTCTCTGTAACAACCATAAGGTCACTGTTTAATTGGGGTTTTATTTGGTTTGGGTTTTTTCGGTCCTGGGGGAAAGTCCAGCGTTTGCTCGACTCTTCTACCTGACATAATGTAGCCGAGTAACAAAAAAACAAAGAAACAAACGCTGCAGGACACTTTCTTACATAAACAAGTGTCCGAGACATAAATCGTCGCACAATGCAACGCAACAAATCGTTCGGTTCTACGAATGACTAAAGGTTTCCGATTCACGGAAGATATCGGGCTGCCGCACACACGCCTGCAAGGTTCTGCGTCTGTGTGCGATCAGCCCTTTTTGTACGTGACCGCGATTATATATGCAGCAAAATATAGACGCACTTGAGGCCGACGCGTAGGTTGTGAGTGGAGTCAACCTGAGAGGTCGAGGCACGAGTTTCTTGCCAAAGTGCCACTTCCATCCAATTCTCCTGAAAGCAATTCAAGTCCAGGATTTGGGGAAAAGAGAGAGATGGAAGAAACAATCAGTTCATGCATTTGAATAATTATTCTTTTTTTTTTTCTTATTCAAACATTACATATTTATTCATATTTAAACTGTCACTGCCTCCCTGAATAACTGAGTGAAATCACTCCATAAAAACAGGCTTCAGTGACCAGATCGGAGTCATTTCTAATCACTCCGCTGTAGCTGATAATTGTGAATGGGCTGTTTAGCATGAGGCTGATTTGCATTCAAGGGGGAAATTTCACGCCAAACACATGCGTGTTACTTGAATACGTGGAAATTGCAGAGGGCCACGGAGACGCAGCGCAGTCGGAGCCGTACTTCTCTCTTGTGTCCTTTTTTTCTCAATTATTTAGCAATTCCAATAAAAAAAAATGTTTTGCCAAGTGAATGTGTTTAATCCCCCCGTAATTCCAGTTTAAGTGGATTTAAAGTTATAATTAAATATGCAGGTAGCAGTGTTCAGACCGCGGAGATGTGGTTCTTTATATTATACATTTTGGCTGTGAGATTAGGCAAAGATTATGCAGGAACATGATCTCACATGTAGGCCTGGTTTCAAAGGATTAAATAAACAAGCTCATCCATTTTAAATTGTACACGGATATTGTTTTACATCCTTTAACGTGTTTAAAACTGGCAACGCAACAACGCAGTGGACACATTTGTCAATGTACTGTGAGGGAAAACATGAAAGAGGCTTAAACAATCTGCAGCACATACATAATGTTGTATGTGATGCTTTATACTTGTGTGAATGGGTATTATGGAAGTTATGTATGAAATAAAAGCCATCAGCTGAAAGGAGAAGTGAGACATTTTACCTTCTCTCTCTCTCTCTCTCTGTGTGTGTGTGTGTGTGTGTGTGTGTCTTTCTTCTTCGTTCACACTCCTTTTCACAGCGAATGTGCGTCCAGATGGAGTGTGCACCGTGCTCTCAGATGGCCTTCTGTCGGATCGCCGCCCGTACACCTCCATGTTTCACCCCACTGC